GTAAGTTTTAAGTGTTAGACACTCAGTCGTGTCCAGCTCTTTGTGACCTCATGGACTGTAGCCCACCAGGCTCCTCTGTCCATGGGATTTCCCAGGCAAGAACACTGGAGTGGATAGCCATTCTCCTCTCCAGGGGATCTTCCCAACACAGGGATTGAACCTGGGTCTCCTGCATTGCAGGTAGATTCTTTACTGTCTGAGCTACCAGGGAAGCCCTAAACAGCTATAGTATTTGATTCAAGTAAATATATTTTAAAAGGCTATGCTAATTTTATTAAGAAATGTTAATATTTACAACCGATGACAATTATGCACCTTTCTTCCATCTCAAAGCACCTTTCAACTATTACTACAGACTTTAAAAATAAATAAATAAAACAGAAAGAACAGCAGTCTAGAATCTCAGGAAACAAGCCACCTGGAACAACTATATTTTCCAGTTACCTGTGGTTATATTCATTGAGTACCACACCAGTTCTGTCTCCTAATTTAAAGCTGCTATAAATTAAAATCTTCTCAAAAGAAGTCAGGACCTCTTCTTAGACTACACCAACATGATTTAACCATTTATTAGTGTTTCCCAGATAATTATTAACACCAATTCTGCAGAGAATTCATATAATGCCCTTAACCAAGCCTTTTCCTACTCTTCCTGTTTGGCATTTTGCATTTCTGCCAGCAAGTGGGGGATGTGGATTCAATTCCTAGTCCAGGAATCATAAGACGCCAACCTCTAAGTCAAGGTTCTAAAACACCGTGACCTCCAACTTTCTCCCCTATAAACATAAGTTAATCTCACTTTCTTAAACTATCTCACAAAACAGAGATGAGTTCACAGAAGTGAACATGCTTTACTTGAAATTTTCACACCAAGAAAACATATGTTCTCACTATGAGTGCTTGCATGAAGCTCCTCTCTTCATTCTAACTGTGGAAATCAGTCAAAAAAGCTAACTAGATCTGTGTTTTTTTTTTAAACTGATAAAAACGGTTTAAGTAAGAGATAGATGTCTTCTATAAAATTCATGCATTAAGTTAGTGACATTTATTTCCAGGGGCCATATGAGTTCTGGATCACTGACATTGCTGGATGGCTGAGTAATACATAGAAAGACATAACTCTATGTGTTCCATCCAAAACCTCAATCTGCTATTGTAACAAACCTCAATCTCCTTTCTAACGTATCTTTAAGATACGATCCTCATTCATTTTATTACCAAACCCATCACCCTCCCAACTACCAATACACAGAAATATGTTGCTTTTATTACTTATATGTTCCCAAAATGTTTTTACTATTATGGTGCTTGGCAGTCCAGAACTTCAGTTCCTAAGCTACTGGTCCATTGAGCACCCTAGAACACTAGGTTCATTCCCAGAAGAACAAACTAAGCCTCACACTTTGAAAAGTAGCAAATAAAATTCAATCAGCATCAAAGGGGAGATAAAGTTTTAAAAACTTAACTGATGTTACCTGCTCTATTTAAAACATCCAGAGGGTAAACTTATTCTGTTCCATGAATTATTATGTGGTTAGTATTATCATAGTTTCACTTGACCCTTTCATCAATTTTACTATTATTTCCTGGCTACTGATTATAAAAGCTGACCTTCAAAGGTATTTAAGTGATTTGCTCAAGATCACAAATGAAAGCCAGACCTAGAACTCAATTCTGCAGACGGAGAGTCCCGCAAAGCTCCCTGGTACGTGCACTTGCCCCTCTGAAACTGCTCGTAAAGTCTTAACTGCAGTGAGAAGCTATAGGGGCAGGCAGTCCTGCTCTGTCCTCTGTCTCCCATGGACATCACGGTTTTAGTCCAAAGAGCAAATGTCCTGGAATAGCATAGGTCAGAGGTTGAATCCAGACTCTGGGCAAGTTATCTAACTTTTCTAAAGCTTAATTTCCTCATCTGTAAAAGGTATTAACAAGCACCAATAAGGTTGCTGTGGGGATTAAGAGGGACAGCACCTTAGCAATCTTTGGCACCCCACCAGTAACAAACTTGAGTTTACTAAATAATAACAACAAATCACATAGTTTGAGCCCATTATGGGATACATCTTAATTCATCTAATTTTCCTAATGATTCTACGGCACAGTGGATAGTATTATTATCACTCCCTGTATTATGAATCACGAAAGACCGTCCTAGGGAGGTAAGGCAGTTTGCCTAGGGTCACAGATCTAGGAAGTGAAACAGCTCGCACCGTGGCACAGGGACCTGACTCGGGGCTCACACTCTGAACTACTGTCCACTCTTGGTGGCCTCTCTAGCAATGAGCGTAACATTAGCACCATCTCTAGACTCACCATAGTCACCAACACCCCCATCACCCACCTTCTCTTTACTTAGCCTGGAGGGCCTCAGGTCTACGAAGGACCCCAACGATGAGATATAAAGAGCTGAGACTCTGACACAGTGAGACTGACAGAGGTCAGCGCCTTCAGGGAAGAAGACGGAAGCTGGTTGCTGGAACAGAAGACTGTGCAACAGAACAAAGAAACAAAATGAAGGCCTGAAATAAGAAATATGAAACATCTTCAGCTACGAGATGAGGGATGGAGCCAGGGGGTGATGGATTTAGCCCAAGAAAAACAAGTATTTTAAAATTTAATCAGGAGCCTAAAGGAATACTAAAAAGAACTTCAAAAACCTGGCCTGTGATATAATTTGGGATCTACTCTGCATCTATTTAATAATTGCTATCTGGTCCCGGGATGCCATGATGTTAGTTTTTTGAATGTTGACCTTTAAGCCAACTTTTTCACTCTCCTCTTTCACTTTCATCAAGCGGCTCTTTAGTTCTTCACTTTCTGCCATAAGGGTGGTGTCATCTGCATATCTGAGGTTATTGATATTTCTCCCAGCAATCTTCATTCCAGCTTGTGCTTCATCCAGCCCAGCGATTCTCATGATGTACTCTGCATATAAGCTAAATAAGCAGGGTGACAATATATAACCTTGACGTACTCCTTTTCCTATTTGGAACCAGTCTGTTGTTCCATGTCCAGTTCTAACTGTTGCTTCCTGACCTGCATACAGGTTTCTCAAGAGGCAGGTCAGGTGGTCTGGTATTTCCATCTCTTTCAGAATTTTCCACTGTTTATTGTGATCCACACAGTCAAAGGCTTTGGCGCAGTCAGTAAAGCAGAAATAGATGTCTTTCCAGAATTCTCTTGCTTTTTTGATGATCCAGTGGATGTTGGCCATTTGATCTCTGGTTCCTCTGCCTTTTCTAAAACCAGCTTGAACATCTGGAAGTTCACGGTTCATGTATTGCTGAAGCCTGGCTTGGAGGATTTTGAGCATTACTTTACTAGCGTGTGAGATGAGTGCAAATGTGCGGTAGTTTGAGCATTCTTCGGCATTGTCTTTCTTTGGGCTGGAATGAAAACTGATCTTTTCCAGTCCTGTGGCCACTGTCTTCCAAATTTGCTGGCATATTGAGTGCAGCACTTTCACAGCATCATCTTTTAAGATTTGAAAGAGCTCAACTGGAATTTCCATTGCCTTCACTAGCTTTGTTCGTAGTGACGCTTCCTAAGGCCCACTTTGACTTCACATTCCAGGATGTCTGGCTCTAGGTGAGTGATCACATCATCGTGATTATCTGGGTCATGAAGATTTTTTTGTAGAGTTCTTCTGTGTATTCTTGCCACCGCTTCTTAATGTCTTCTGCTTCTGTTAGGTCACTACCATTTCTGTCCTTTATTGTGCTCATATGTGCATGAAATGTTCCCTTGGTATCTCTCATTTCCTTAAAGAGATCTTTAGTCTTTCCCATTCTATTGTTTTCCTCTATTTTTTGTACTGATCACTGAGGAAGGCTTTCTTATCTCTTCTTGCTATTCTTTGGAACTTTGCATTCAAATGGGTATATCTTCCCTTTTCTCCTTTGCTTTTTGCTTCTCTTTTCACAATTATCTGCAAGGCGTCCTCAGACAGCCATTTTTCTTTTTTGCATTTTCCTTGGCTCAAAAATAAAAAAACTAAGATCATGGCATCCGGTCCCATCACTTCATGGCAAATAGATGGGGAAACAGTGGAAACAGTGTCCGACTTTATTTTTGGGGGGCTCCAAAATCACTGCAGATTGTGACTGCAGCCATGAAATTAAAAGACGCTCACTCCATAGAAGGAAAGTTATGACTAACCTAGACAGCATATTAAAAAGCAGAGACATTACTTTACCAACATATGCCCATCTCGTCAAGGCTATGGTTTTTCCAATAGACATGTATGGATGTGAGAATTGAACTATAAAGAAAGCTGAGTGCCAAAGATTTGATGCTTTTAAACTGTGGTGTTGGAGAAGACTCTTGAGAGTCCCTTGGACTGCAAGGAGATCCAACCAGTCCATGCTAAAGGAGATCAATCCTGGGTGTTCATTGGAAGGACTGATGCTGAAGCTGAAACTCCAATACTTTGGTCACCTGATGTGAAGAGCTGACTCATTGGAAAAGATCCTGATGCTGGGAGGGATTGGGGGCAGGAGGAGAAGGGGACGACAGAGGATGAGATGGTTGGATAGCATCACCAACTCAATGGAGATGAGTCTGAGTAGATTCCGGGAGTTGGTGATGGACAGGGAGGCCGGGCGTGCTGTGATCCACGGGTTGCAAAGCGTCGGACACGACTGAGGGACTGAACCGAGCTGATCCAGGGGTGTGGGGGTGGGGGAACGTGACCAATTTAATCAGCTCTCATTGGTGACCTGAAACAGGCACAGTGAAAACCATTTACCTCTGAAAGTATCAGAGCCCAACAACATGTTGCCTTCAACTACTATGCACAATCCTATTCCTGAGGCAAATCATGCTTTCCTGCTCACGCCGTATTATTTCTGAGTTCCTCTGGATAACTGTTTCTGGCTGTTCATCTACATTATTTTCTCTATACCATCTGTCTAAATCTAAAAACTGCTTTTTTTCAAGCCAAGGGATCACCGGACATCTCAGTTTACCTATTTGCCTCAAGCAGACTCAGGCTGCAGTGTATGTGTCCCCCGCACGTGCCGCTGTTAGAACACTGTGCGCTGATGACTCTCGAGTGCGACATGGACCTCATTACCCTGTAAGATTCCACAAAAGAAATTCCAGGTTTTGCTCATCCTTACAGCCCAGGCATCTAGTAGTACACTGTGGTGCACTCGGTAAATGTTGAAAGATTAGCTGAAAGTCTTCAGACGTGGTTTTGGGTCTCCTCCTTCAAGGCCTTCTTTGCCATGAAGCTTACTCTAAAAACCTCTCTCTTTAGATAATGATAATCGTGGATCACCAAAAATGACTTCGGATTTAGTAGAGTAGTGATTCCTTCTCTGGCAACTGGCTGGAGAAATAAAAATGAAACACCCCTGGGTTGATGCTTCAGGACCCACTTTCCTGAATATGCCCAATATTCAGTTTTTAGGACAAAAGATATGCATGCCTTAGGGTCATGATCACTTATAATTTATTGACAAGCTCAAGGGGCTTTGTTTATCTCATAATATCCAGCTCAGGGCCTAGCACAAGGTCAGTGTCAGATGAAAATACTGGTTGATTAATTGACAACAACTGTCAAAACTGCCACAGGCCAAATGCAGAAGCTCCTTAAACTACCAAAAGGGTGTTAAAAGATTTAGCAAAATACCAGTTAGTCTCTAATTTCAGATAATTAGCTTTTAAGAAATGTGAAACTATGATTAAACATAATCACATAATAAATATTCCCCCAAATATCATACTTCTATTTTTTCCATATAGAGGCCTTTGAAAAGTACAGTGCTGAAAGAACTTTCTAACATTAATCTGAAAAAAAACACTCTCATAAACTATATGGCACAAATTAACAGAAATTGTTAGTCCTTTCAGGTACTTGTATAGGAAGGAACTCAGGATCAATGATCAAATAATACTCCTGCAATTCCCTAAATGAGATTATTATTTTGATAAATCTAAACATATCTATTTGGAGAAGTTACTGGGCGGGGGGGGGGGGGCTTCCTGAAAATTTTATGTGCCCCTCTTGCCAATAAAACTTGAGATTGTGCATACTGGTAAATACAGCAAAATAAATAAACTTTAAAGTAAAACTTTATGTTGTATGCAAAAATCTATCTTTAAATGTTTCAAACTCCCCTAAGTTTTCCTAGCATTATTAGACTTAAAGAAACAATAAAAATGAACATTCTATTCAACGCTAAGGCAGCTATTACACTAAAATTCATTTTAAGATATTTAAAAATATCGGTACTTTCAGAGAATCCCTGGTGATCTTAACAAACCGTCTTTTAAACGTAAAACACTAAGGGAAAAAAAAAGTACAGTAAGTAGATTACATTTTGCAGGTCCATGGGTTTGTACATCTTCCCAAATATCAAAGTCATACTGAGCTGAGTGTTAACTTTGTGATGGACTTAATCTCTTCAATATAAAGCCACAGTCATAGCCACCATATAATCAAAGTTAAATTATATATACAATGCCAAAAAAATTTGAAGTAACACTTTTTTTGTACCATAATGATTATTAAGGCCAAAGATTCTCCTCACCACATACATTCAAATATTCTCCTTTTACCTATTCGAAATCTTATTAACAATATTTCAATTACCTACAGTAAAGTACTCTGGCCTCAAGGAAATATTTCGATTAGTATTAACACCCTTTAAAATAAACAGAATGTTATTACATATGGGATTTGTGTCCTCCTTTTAACTGTGAACCATTACTAACAGGTAAAACAGTGATTGATTTTTGGTTCCTTATAAAATAAGTAAATCATATTTTGTAGAAATCAGTTCAGTTCAGTTGCTCAGTCATGTCTGACTCTTTGCAATCCAATGGACCGCAGCATGCCAGGCTTCCCTGTCCATGAGAGTGTTTTCTTTCAGATTAATGTTAGTAAGTTCTTTCAGCACTGTACTTTTACCCAGATTCATGTCAACTGAGTCAGTGATGCTATCCAACCATCTCATCCTCTGTTGTCCCCTTCTCCTCCTGCCCCCAATCCCTCCCAGCATCAGGGTCTTTTCCAATGAGTCAACTCTTCGCATCAGGTGGCCAAAGTATTGGAGTTTCAGCTTCAGCATCAGTCCTTCCAATGAACACCCAGGATTGATCTCCTTTAGCATGAACTGGTTGGATCTCCTTGCAGTCCAAGGGACTCTCAAGAGTCTTCTCCAACACCACAGTTTAAAAGCATCAAATCTTTGGCACTCAGCTTGCTTTATGGTCCAACTGTCACATCTATACGTGACCACTGGAAAAACCATAGCCTTGACTAGACAGACCTTTGTTGACAAAGTAGTGTCTCTGCTTTTTAATATGCTATCTAGGTTGGTCATAACTTTCCTTCTAAGGAGTAAGCGTCTTTTAATTTCATGGCTGAAATCACCATCTGCAGTGATTTTGCAGCCCCCAAAAATAGTCAGTCCCCATCTATTTGCCATGAAGTGATGGGATCGGATGCCACGACCTTAGTTTCTGAATGTTGAGCTTTAAGCCAACTTTTTCATTCTCCTCTTTCACTTTCATCAAGAGGCTCTTTAGTTCTTCTTCACTTTCTGCCATAAGGGTGGTGTCATCTCCATATCTGAGGTTATTGATATTCCTCCCAGCAGTCTTCATTCCCGCTTGTGCTTCATCCAGAACAGCATTTCTCATGATGTACTCTGCATATAAGTTAAATAATCAAGGTGACAATATACAGCCTTGACGTGCTTCTTTTCCTATTTGGACCAGTCTATTGTTCCATGTCCAGTTCTAACTGTTGCTTCCTGACCTGCATACAGGTTTCTCAAGAGGCAGGTCAGGTGGTCTGGTATTCCCATCTCTTTCAGAATTTTCCACAGTTTATTGTGATCCACACAGTCGAAGTCCTTGGCATAGTCAATAAAGCAGAAATAGATGTTTTTCTGGAACTCTCTTGCTTTTTTGATGATCCAGTGGATGTTGGCCATTTGATCTCTGGTTCCTCTGCCTTTTCTAAAACCAGCTTGAACATCTGGAAGTTCATGGTTCATGTATTGCTGAAGCCTGGCTTGGAGGATTTTGAGCATTACTTTACTAGCGTGTGAGATGAGTGCAAATGTGCGGTAGTTTGAGCATTCTTCGGCATTGTCTTTCTTTGGGGCTGGAATGAAAACTGATCTTTTCCAGTCCTGTGGTCACTGCTGAGTTTTCCAAATTTGCTGGCATATTGAGTGCAGCACTTTCAAGCATCATCTTTTAACAGTGCAGTTTTGGAGTGGTGAGTGGCCAAGAGGAGATACCCCACGTCCAAGGTAAGAGAAACCCAAGTACCACGGTAGGTGTTACGAGAGGGCATCAGAGGGCAAACAGGCTGAAACCACAATCACAGAAAACTAGCCAATCTGATCACAGGACCACAGCCGTGTCTAACTCAGTGAAACTAAGCCATGCTGCGTGGGGCCACCCAAGATGTACGGGTCATGGTGGAGAGGTCTGACAGAACATGGTCCACTGGAGAAGGGAATGGCAAACCACATCAGTATTCTTGCTTTGAGAACCCCATGAACAATATGAAAAGGCAATAAGATAGGACACTGAAAGATAAACTCCCCAAGTCGGTAGGTGCCCAATATGCTACTGAAGATCAGTGGAGAAATAACTCCAGAAAGAATGAAGGGATGGAGCCAAAGCAAAAACATCACCCAGTTGTGGATGTGACTGGTGATAGAAGCAAGGTCCGATGCTGCAAACAGCAACATTGCATAGGAACCTGGAATGTTAGGTCCATGAATCAAGGCAAATTAGAAGTGGTCAAACCAGAGATGCAAGAGTGAACATCGACATTTTAGGAATCAGTGAACTAAATGGACTGGAATGGGTGATTTTCACTCAGATGACCATTATATCTACTACTGTGGGCAAGAATCCCTTAGAAAAAATGGAGTAGCCATCACAATCAACAAAAGGGTCTGAAATGCAGCACTTGGATATAATCTCAAAAATGACAGAATGATCTCTGTTTCCAAGGCAAACCATTCAATATCATGGTAATCCAAGCCTATGCCCCAACCAGTAACACTGAAGAAGCTGACGTTGAACGATTGATTCTATTCTGTAGAAATACAGCCTCTCAAATCAGATTACATATATGATTTACTTTCATGTTCTTCTTAGTCTGATCACTTTCCCAGAGAAAAGGTATATTTCTATTATCCTGTAACATCTCTCTAGTTCTAAGAGCTCTGAGATCTGAAAGTCAAAATTTGTCAAAGATTTAGCAGGTCACTTCGAATTACACAGACACCTAAGATGGCTCTATAATATGCAAAATTCTACTGATGGAAATTTAGCTCGCATATTTTATAATATATTTCTACTTAAGAGAAAAACCACTGAGATAAACATCATTTAAAGGCACTAAACTCCATAGAGGCCAAGCATCTTGTCTGCTAAATAAGCTTAAAAAGGAAAGATTTGAACTGGGTTTTCTTTCTTGAAATCAGGTGCTTTTAGCATATAGTGGAAAGTTTGCATATACATTTGTTCATCAACGCAGAATAGAATTTGGAGGAGCAGGGAATTCCAAATGCTTCTCGAATGCCTCCTGCCCCCCCCCTCACGGTTTAAGCTGCTGTTTCTGCCTCGTAAACTCTGATAAGCCTCTTTTATTGGACTTGCACTACCCCCCCGATTTTGATCTCTTTCATTCTTTTTATAACTTTTTTCACTGTCTTATGAAAAATGAAGAATGTTATCTAAGTTTGGTGCTTTTTTTCCTTTCTTTTTAGATAGGCATTATAGTTTTTAAAAAGGCTTCTTTTAGAACTTACAAGCACCACGGAGAAGGGAAGTATACCTTGAAAGCTAATGATGTGATTCTATACTCAATCTATGATTCTCTCCTATGACTATGGGGAAAAAAAAAAAATCCATCCGAAATGGCATTAACCTTTAGGAAATTGGCAGATTCCCAAGAGTGGATAATGCCTGGAAGCTGGAGGTATTGAGGGTTGTGTTAAGGAGGCAAGGTCATAAAAGGTCAGTAACTAAGTTTCTGGCAATACTGGGGCATGCAAAGCTGTGGACCACACACAACCTGTGCTGTTAACTGATGAATGA